CGCCAGCGAGCGCAGCTGCCTGCTCCGCGAGCTGCACCGCTTCGAGTCCATCGCCATCGCGCAGGGTGAGGCCGGGCTCGGGCCGGGCCGGGAGGGGTGGTCCGGTCCTGTCTTGTCCTGGGGCGGGGGCGGGGGCGGGGGCGGCCTCGCCGTGCAGTGGGGAGCCGGGGCGGGGCCGCCGAGCTGAGGTGTCTGACAAGGGTCCCTTGGGTCAGGCTCGCTCACACGGTCTGGAAAAAACATCTTCTCGGGGGCAGACACCCTTGGTCCGGCTGCGGTTGGCGCGCGCCCATTGCGGGGTGAACTTAACCAGGCCAGGAAGTGCCAGAGCCGCGTTCCTTTTCTTTTTGTCTCTTTTTCTTTCCCCCTCTGCCTCGGCGGCTCCCTTTCACCCCTGAGCCGTAGCAGAATTAGCAGGCAGCTGAAACGTCACCGCCTCATTTATGTCTTGTCTTTTCTTGGGGGAAGCATTCAGCTTTTCCTCTCTTGAATCCTTGAACAGCGGCAGAATTGGCAGGCGGTGAGCGCGTGATTCTTTTTTTACTCCGTGAAAATGGTAACAACAGCGAGACGCGCGAGTGTGTGCTGGGACGACACCCTCCGCCTTCAGAATTTCACTCCGCGGTTGGGAAACTGTTGGGCAGTGCTGTTCGCGCTTGAGTGGCTGTCACAGCCTTAGGCAGTTGTTTGAAGAGGCCAGGCAGGCAGGTGACTGGTTTTAGGGCGCACGGTCTTGCTGCAAGGGCAAAAATGGGTTTATTTTTTTTCCACACCTATTTAGAACATTTGCATGGTGGCTCTGGGAACCGGTTTGTGAAATATACCTGGTAACGCTGAGCACTGAGCTGCTCGTCTGCTTGGCGGGATGGGGAGCATCTGCTTAAATTGAGGGGCTGGGGGGAGTCCTCAGTGAACAATCATTGAGGTACAGACAGGCATCTGTGCTTGGAAAGTGTGTGTGTGTGTGAGTGATTGTGTATGCAGATATGAATGTGATATGCCAAATATCACTTGGATTTTTCACCCACCTCTTCTTCTCAAAACTTTTTGCAACGCATTGGGGGGCTGGCTGGTAAACAAAGTCCTGAGTGTGAAACAGACTCTTAGCACTTCATTGTGTTGGGTACCCCAAAATACAAATGACTAAACATATTCAACATGCTGGCAGCCATTAAAGAGAGAAGCTTGCATTTTAGATAGGTCTCTGTGACTGGTAGCAATATACGCCCTTGGAAAGGGCACTTCTGTAATCCGTACATCCACAGATTGCAATTCTTGAGGAAATCTTGCTATAAAAGTTACAGATTTCAGGCCTAGAAACATCATTAAGTGAAGAAACGGAACTCTTTACTTTTTATGTGAATGCATCAAAGCACACAAATACATACAGATAAGGTTCTTTGGGTGAATCTGATATGTTTCATTAGACCATCTTAAACGGTTGGTATTTTTTCCCTAATTTTTCCAACTATTTAAGTTAGACTGATAAAGAAGGTTGTCAGCCTGTGTCCTTAGACTAACATGGGTGCAACCTGCACCCCACTAATACATACATTTATGTTACTTCCTGTATAAATGGTAATGTATTTAAATGCCACTTGCCCGTCTGGGATTTTTTTTTTTTTTTTAAATCGAGCAAACTTCCTAGTTTTTGGTGAAGCAATATATGAAGTGATTATAGCTATATCTTTTTACCATAGCTGGGAGTATGTTAAGTTTTAAATTGATGCTGACTTAAATTGTACTTGCCTCTATAATTTTACAGTGCTAACTCCTGTGATCTCACATGGTCTTTGCAGTAGAAAACATATATTAGTTTCCATTTAACACAGCCTCTTGTGCATTATACTTTTCCTAAATAGACTCTTGTGAGCAGCCTCAGAAGGCTTTTTCCCTTAAGCGTTTGTGCACACTTGCAACCCAGCAGTAGCAGTTGTTGTCACTCCTAAGATGACTGTGCACAGCTGCCTGTACATAGCTGGATATTATGTAATGGCATGGATGCCAGAGTAAGTCCTTTATCTTTATTTGATTTTTTGTATATATGTAAGCAGTTGTTATTTCAGTATGTGAGAGGCAAGGATTTGGGGGCGGTGATCTCTTTTATCGGACTAACCGTATGGTTGCAATAGGTTTAGACCAGGTTTTGAATGCAGTGCGTTCTGAAGACCAGAAAAAGTGACTTGAAGAATGCACTGCATTTGAAAGCTTGGCTAAACCAATTGGAGCCATACAGCTGATTCCGTAAAAGAGATCACCTACAAAATTCCTTGCCTCCTGCATATCTCCTGGACCATCACAGCTACAACAGCACTCCAACACTACCAAAACATGGAGGTTATTCTAGTATAATGTTTAAGGGTTGATGCAGAGATGAATTAAACAGATGGCCTCATTGCACAATGACTGCTAGCTACAGTATGAAAATTTCTCTGTTTCTATAAAATACTTACTGTGCCTACTTGTCAATTTAGTATGTGGAAGCAAAAAGAGTGCTGATTAAAAGGACATGTGTAATAAAGACTTTAGATTAACTCACAATTATTCAATAATAAATACTTGTAGTGTCTGACACAGGAGTTGAAGCATCTATATGTGCTTAATCATGTTCAGTTTACATGTGTCAACATTACCTTATTTGTGGTTATGTTTTGTATGGTTGATTAAGGGTGGCCAAAGGCGTTCCACCTCAGAGCTCAAACCTGTAAGGAATTGGAACCAGTTTCTTGAATTGTATAACAAAGAAAGCATTCATTTATTTTTCTTCCAAGGTTTTGCCAGATCAGATTGTTCTGGATACTGTGAACGTTTAACTCTAAGAAATGGTGTTTTGCTTTGTTTTGTTTTTTTTTACATGTCTTGAACAGAGTTCTTGGACTAGGGTTTATGGGCCTGTGGGATCTCTACTGAATAGATGCAGGGAGTGCTTTGAACCCAGACTGAACTAATTCATTTAGAGTTTTAAAATTGCTATGGCCCACTGGTCTTACACTCTTGTTGTTCTGGAAACTAGCTAAAA